AATTCTATCTGCCAAATGAGCCAGCTTTAGACATTTAAGTAGTCTCATAAGGCCTCCAATTAATAAAGTGTCCAGCCCAATAGCCCAACATATTCAGCCCATTCTCAGTAAAAGCCCAATCCTCCATTGTGCCACTTTTTCTCCACAATATCTTATTGATGTGCTGCATATTTGGAGTAGAGGTTCTTATTATTGAATGCACTGGTAAAGGAGGGAGCCTCTCTATAGTCAAGGACCCTCAATACACTAGTTTCACGTGGTCGATGAAAAAACTAACAAGGGAAGAGCGGAAATGCGTTAAGTCAGATGTTTTTTTTTTCTGCTGGAGGGTTCAAATGATACGTAATAGGAGAGAACTTTGTTTTTATCGTTCTACTTCCAAACAATGGAATCATTTTTCGCTTACTTTTTGTGTTTAGGTACCTAAATATTTTTCCAGAGGGATCTAATGGGAAAGGCATATGGCTGACGTTCTGTTTGAGCTCAGTCGATCCCTTCAGACTTCAGTCTTCGTCTTGGACAGAATGTCTGTGAAATATGAACTGAGAAATGGGGTTCAATGCCAGCGCAGAGGTACTAATATTAATTGTTTTTCTTCTGAGTAAACTCTGATTGTGCAAGTACTCGATGCACCAAGTCTAATGCATATCTGGTATAAATCCAATAATCATTTAGAAGAAATTTGTAATGCAGGTTATAAGAAGTTATCTTCCTCCTCAAGCTATTCGGGTTTTCCAGCTTTGATGGCTTTGTTTCATCGCATTGACAATTCAAATGGCTTCGCTGTGGATGATAATCCATTGGTGGAGAGACAAATACTTCAAGCATCCACTGCAAAATACTGTTCATGAATTCGCAGTAAAAAGTAGTCCAAGTTAATCTTTATGAACGAGTACTATGTATCTTGAAATCCATGTAATGAATATTTCTTATCAAAATTCACAGCTCATTTGATTGAAATTTATTAATGTTAAGATTTGGAGTTTTATCTTAAAAGGTCAATATTATTAAGAAGAGTAGCACAAACTCTTGTTTGAGTAAATCAATCTTGAAATCCGTGTGCTCAATTTTGTTTAAGTCTTAATTGGATCCAATTGCTCGTTGGAGTTTAATGGGTTCTGATACCATGTTGAAATTTGGAGTTCAATTTTAAAAGGTCAACCTCATTAAAAGGAGTAGCACAAACTCTTATAAATTGGTCTATATTTTCATCTTTATTCGATGTGAAATTTTATCCCTTAACATATCCCCTCAAGATGGTGGCTCGTTTGAGCAAACCAATCTTGAAATTCTTGTGCTCAATTTTGTTTGAGTCTTATTTGGATCGAATTGCTCGTTGGAGCTTAATATGTTAAGATTTAGAGTTCCATTTTAAAAGGTCAACCTTATTAAAAAGAGTAGTCCAAACTCTTATAAATTGGTTTATATTTTCATCTTTATTCGATGTGAGATTTTATCCCTTAACAATTAATACTGTAATACAGGCATTATATCAATTACTTGTATTAGTTTTCAATAATTTTGTAGACAGATACTTGTATCCATCATTGAGCCCTTCATTTTTCAGGTAGGGTAGTTCAATTGGTTTGGAGTGTAGAAGCCGATTAAGTAGGTGTTATCCCTCTGAAATGACCCGTTGAGATGGGCCCCTGTTTGGTGAACAATAAGTGAAGCAAACTCAAAACCAGCTTTTGCTCAAAAAAATGGCTCAAATATAATATAGACAAATTCATGTTGCAGAACCCTGGAAAATATTATGAAATTATATGAATTCTAAAATGTTATTTACAATTCTCAAGTGTTTTTCACTGCCTTGAACTATGATTTCAAGAGAAAATCTTGTATATTCTTGGATCAACCATACATTCTTATTACACAATAAATCATTGTACTTACTAGAGATTAACTCGAAAGCGAAAACTCTCACCTTATTGAGAGTTCTTGAATCATTTCAATTTTCAGATATTTCACCTGAAAAATTACCTAGAAATATTCGAGTTCGAGTTCCGGCTCATGTTGTTGTACCTTGATAGCAGTACCTTTGCACTGCAAGAAAGTGATCTCTCTATCATAGAAGAAGGCTCTGTTTGTATAGCCCTTTGAACTGAAGAACTTGCTTCTAATCTTGATAGGCTCTGAATATCGCCAGATCTCTTTTGAACAATACTCGTATTTGATTGATTTTCTGACTTTCGATTAGGCTGTGATGAGAAAGCATCTGCTATAGCAGCACTGATCATTGAAGCTGACAAATTATCCACTGAAACTGATCTTCTCCTAGGTTGAATCTCAAAATCCAAATCTTGACTATTTTCACGTCTCTTTGATTCGTCTTCATCCTCAATCTCGACTGTCAACTCGAGATCTTCTCCTCTTTCTCGTCCAAGTTCTCCTTCGTTCTCTGAAATATCAACTCGGGTTTCCTCCACGGAGCCTGAATTATGCACAATTTGCTCCTGTGATGGCAAGCTTGATGTGTTGATCACGATACCAGCCCTACACATGGGGCAATTGGTGTGTGATCTAAGCCAAGTATCAATACAAGGTATATGAAAAGCATGGTTGCATTTAGGCAACAATCTAAGAGTTTCATCTTCTTCAAACTCATTCAAACAAACAGAACAATCTGTTCCTTCAATAAGTCCATCGCCTCTTTTATACTTGACTATTGAAATTGCACTTATAACCGATGGTTGAAGTCCAACTGTTCTGATGTACCATATTGGATTGATAACCGCCAAGTGATCTTCATCAAAATAATGATCTTGACCCCCCTCCTCCTCCTCTTCCGGTGGCTGCTGCCGCGCCGCCCTCGAATTCCGCCAATTAGAATACAACTTGTAGATGGTGTAACAAGCAAATAAAAAGAAGACTGTGGCTAATACAGCAAGAGAGATGGTGAGCAAAAGAGAGAGTTTGTTAGGTTTATCCGGAGGTGGCTCGATGAAGTCTTTGGGTGGTTCAGGCGGCAACGGCGGGATTGAAAGCAATAGTGGGCGGTTACAAACCGGAAAACAGAGACCAACACATGAAATTGGACAAGCACCATCCTGATTTTTTGTTCCATCACAATATGGTGTGCATATTCGCTCTATACTAGGATCATTTAGTGATTCATTCAGAAATTTCCTGTGAGTAAAGGCCATGAATCATCACTTCTGCAATGAAAAAAAGGAAAGGGCCTTGATTTCTTAGAGAAGGGAGAAACGGAAAGAGAAAGATGAACCTCTAGATCTGTGAATGAATAAATTCTTGACGATAATGGAGAGGAAAAGTAGTTGGCTTTTTCTTCCTTTACAATTTTTTCTTGTTTGACTTTTTGCTTTCTAATTTTCATGGCGGCTGACTGTGTTGGGCTTGGACTAGTTATTATCCAGCCCAGCACAAATAGGCAGTAACTTATTTGAGAAATTCAAGAATTTCAGGTATGTAAAGTTTCAAATGCAAAAATCAGGGACCAAGTTTGAATCTTCAAAAATCAGGTACTACATAAAAACCCTAACCCTAATTTTTTATCCTCCACCCACTCCCCCTCTCGCCTGATTTCTTCTCTCTCTCTCTCGCCTCGCCTGATTTCCCC